ACATCAGTCAACTTTTCACCAACTGATTCAGGGATGCCACCTAGAATAATCTCATCAGCTAGCAACTGCGACTCTAATTGGAGTGTTCTAAGCTCAAGATTGCTATCAACAATACTTTGAGCCGCAGCTTTTACTTCCGCAACAATATTATTGTCAACACCTGGCTTACTCTTTTCCACCTTTAAAACGCGGTCTTCTAACAATTTAACGCTTTTCTTTATTCCACTGTAATCAGTAGCTAGTTTATCAATTTTCTCCTGCATTGAGTCAATTTTCTTCGTTAAAGCATCTATTTTCTGTTCAATATTGTCTATTTTATCTATTTTATCTAGTTTAGCATTTATACTCTCCAACGTACTTGAATAATTGATAGGACACACTGGACACTCCCCAACTATTTTTCCAGCTGCACGCGCTTTATTTGGTAAATTGCAGCGCGTCTTGACACAGAAGTCATGGAAATAGTGTTTACACTCAGCGCCAGTTTGCACGAGTGCACTTGAGTCGGTAACATTTTTCATACAGAGCGCGCAGCAGGCAGTCATTTTGTTACTACTAGATGGCAGCAGATACAGAAATTCTAAATTCACGAATTGTATATATATTTTCTAAATGAATGTCTCTAACCTCGCTGATAATGACAAATATACTTTTATAATTTCAGAATAGGAGAACCCGTATAATACGTAAATTATTATTACAATATGTTCCCCGATTTTTAAGCCACAGTTAGGAACAAAATTTAACTTATAATAATAAATCTAAAGACAGATATGGCAAAGTAAAAACACTGTGAATAAATTACGTCCACACTGTACAACTGTATACTGTATACTCTTTAAAATATAAAGGATAATCTTTATATTTTGGTGTTGATGGTTTTAACTTGAATGCCCCTTTCATCAGTCTCGATACCAGTGGATCTGCTCCAATCTTAACTCCTGCTATAAGAGAAACCGCAGATCTCAGAGTGTTAAGTCCTGAGTATGAGGCTCCTTTTTTCTGCTTCTCTGTAAGGAAACGAAGCAAACCATGACTGTCCGGCTCCAAAAGGTCCAGCTCGTTCCTTGTGCAAAATTCGCTCCTTTGTTGTAGCACTGACTGATATTGTTTTAGTGTAGAGTCAGCCAGTGATGCTAGCATGATGTCTGCTGACTCCTCTGGCGAGCCTTTTTTAATAAAGGCTTGCCGGATAATCGTCCTGCAATCAGTTCTAGCGATGCTGCCCTGGGGTGCTGCTTTGTCCTACAAGGAGACAACAATAGATTATTATTTGGTCTCAGGTATATTGGCTCTTCTACTAGGAGCTCGAGGAAAAGCGGATACCAAGCTTGGTTTGGCCAATTAGGTACGATCACTATACCCGAAGATTTTTCTAGTTTAATTTTATTAAGGACTCTGAGTATCAGAGCAAAGGGTGGAAAAGCGTAGAAATCTATATTTCTCCAGCTGATTGTGAACGCATCTATCTCCGAAGCGCTCGCGTCCGGAAAACGTGAGCAGAAGTTAGCGCACTTTTTATTAGCCCTTGTTGCAAAGAGATCCAAGGCTGGAGCCCCGAACCTGGCTACGATTTTCTCAAATGCGTAACTAGCCAGCTCCCATTCCGTATCGTCGTTAGCTAACCTTAATAGACCATCAGCTTCTACATTTTCTTCAGACGGTATGTATGAAGCAAATAAAAAATTATCTTTCACTTCCGCCCGGTGCCAGATTTCGCGTGTCAGTTTATTAAACTCTGGGTGTTTAGTCCCACCCATTTTATTAACATAGGCTATCGCCTTCGTATTGTCTATTCTCAAAAGGATCTGTTTTCCAGTCACTTCTGCTGCTAATGACTCAAGAGCTAATTTTACTACGAATAATTCCTTGTAATTAATGTGCCATTCTTTCTGTCTTTCGTCCCAGAAACCATGTATACTATTCTGACTATCAGTCGCGCCCCAACCTGAATTCGAAGCGTCCGTAAAAATGGTTTTACTGAAATCTACAGATTTAATTTTGCTTTTCCCTAGTTGGACATTTTCTTGCCACCATAAAAGATCTGGCACTAAGCTATCTGGTACTACCACCGTTGCTTCGTAATCAAAAAGATTTTTCCCTAGAATAAGAATTTTAAAGCCTTCTAAAGGCCGCAAATATAACCAACCGTAGTCTACTCCCGGACACGCAGCGACAAATTTCCCTATTAGCTCTGATAGCTCTCTAATTGAGTGGTTTTGACCTGTCGTAAATGTACTTATTAACTTGCTCAGGCGAGCTTTTTTATCACTAGTCAGTTCTACTGATAGATTCACGGAGTCTATGGTGAAACCCAAAAATTCACATCTTGTCTCTGGAGTCAACTTGCTTTTATTTTTATTTATTAAGAACCCTAAAGACTCTAAAAGATCGCCTGTGGCGTTTACATTCTCTGAACATTTCTCTGGGGAGTTCTCAATACATAGAATGTCATCTAGATAAATCACCGACTTAAAGCCTCTCAATCTAAGTGATTTGACTACTGGTTTTAGAATTTTCGTAAATACATACGGACTAGTACAAAGCCCAAAAACTAGACATGTAAATTGATAAATTTTGCCTTCAAATCTAAATCTTAGGTATTTCCTACTTATCGGATGAACTGCTACTAGATAATACGCGTCTTCCATATCCAGGGTCGCAAAATAGACATTTGCTAATACTAAGCCACGAGCTGTTCTTAGATCTTCCATCTTAAAATGAGAAGTATCTATGAACTCGTTCAATCTTTTAAGATTAAGGATAAATCTATCTGAACCATCTTTCTTAAGTACCAAGAAATAAGATGATAGAAATTGTCCTTCTTCCGATTGACATTCGTCAATCGCACCTTTATCCAGCAATCTTTTAATTGCCTTCTCAAACCTCAACACCTCGTGGTCTTCAATGGATACTTTAGGTTCGCGCACCTGAACTACCTGACGATTAAAGGCTATTTTATACCCCTTAACGCAACCTGATACAAACTTATTATCCGTTATTTCCTTCCAAACCCTGTAAAAATGCTTCAAGCGTCCCGCTACCTTACTTACGGTATTTATTGGGGTTTGGGTTTGTAGGTCTTCGTCGAAGGACCCGCGTTCTTTGGAGGGTGCTGGTTCTGGCTGGCCTGAAATCTCTGGTTGGGCCGGAAAGGCAGGCGACATCAAGCTTGGCTCCAATTGCCCTGCTGGTAGTGACCGGGCCTGCATCCCACCGGGCGAGATGAGTTTAAATATTTGCCTTGGTTGTTTGAGGCTTGAGCCGGTGTTTTAGCCACTGATACTACTTTGTCAGCTGCTTTGACCGATTTTATATTCTCGACTAAATCTTTACCGAACAGGAATTCATCGGCGTTCGCCTTTTCCAGAATCTCCTTTGTCATTTTGTCAAATGATGGTGTAATGGTTGCTTTTCTTGACAGTGATTGTTGATGAAAAGCATCAGCCAGGATTTTCTTTGCTTCAAATAGTTTTTCGAAAGCATCGTCCAAGTCAAGAGCCTCTGTCTCGGTGATCAGTGTGGACGCAACGGAGACTATAGCCATCAGCGCTGAACCGATGGAGTTCTGAGTCAGCACGCGAAAAGTGTCTCTCTTCTTTGCACTAACTGATAGGTTGGACTCGATTGGGAGATTAATTTTAGGAGCTTCAAAACCTTCAGATCTTTTGTATTTTGTTAGTAGTTTGTCTCTGTCTTCAGAGCTCAACCCTTTCTCGGCCCAGAACTTCAGGCGGTTTTTTATTTTTGGATGCAGTTCTAATCGAAGACCCTTTTTTTCAGATGGGTCTTCTCCTAGAATGTCTTTCATCTCATCTGTCAAAAAGAGCTCCTTTTCCTCGTCCTCTGGTTTTTCATTTTCTTTACCTATGGGTAAAAAACAAAATAATGATAAACATGTTCATTATTTTGACGATACATGTCAGCACTGGGGGCGACATGTTTAGTATATATATATATATAT